TTAACAGTTGAAAAATATTGGAAGAGTTACATCAATCATTTTGTTTATTATCATTATTATTATCATTGTTGTTGTTGTTTCCTTTGATTTTTGGTGTGTACTCATTTCTTTTCGGGTCCCGCCCAGAGACCTAAGGTCACAAAATGGCATCATGACAAGGAAAGGCATGAAACTGTAACGAGCTTATTATGACGGTGATCGTGTTCATCTTGGAATTTTCCATTGATTTGTACAAATAATTTTTGTACATTTACACATTTTTATAATCGAAAAAGAATTGTTTAAATATTACTTGTAGAAGACAGACATTTTGTTGAAATATCGTTTAACATTGTCAAACAGTTTTATTTTCTTTTTCTTTTCTTAAATCGCGCTCTTCTCTTAAGAGTTGAAAAATATTGGAAGAGTTAAGTCAGCCATTTTGTTTATTATTATTATTATTATTATTATTACTGTTGTTGCTGCTGCTGGTGCTATATCAGGGCGTATGAAACGCATTACCATTTCTGACAGACTTTTACAAATCTTATTTATTATTTTTATTACCACTTCCCTTGATTTTATCATCATTTTATTTCCTTTGATTTTTGATGTGTACTCATTTCTTTCCAAGTCCCGCTCAAATACCTAAGGTCAAAAATGGCATCATGACAAGAAAAGGCATGAAACTGTAACGTGCTTAATAAGATGGCAATCGTGTTCATCTTGGAATTTTCCGTTAGTGTGTACAAAGACTTATAATTTTTTTGTACATTTATATATTTTTTATACTTGCAAAAGTATTGTTTAAATATAACTTGAAGAAGACAGACATTCTGTTGAAATATTGTTTAACATTGTCAAACACTGTTTTATTTTATTTTATTTTTCTTTTCTTAAATCACACTCTCCTCTTAACTGTTGAAAATATTGGAAGAATTGCGTCAACCATTTTGTTTACTACTAATAATAATAATATTAATAACAACTACTACTTTCTTTTGTTCAGGTGGTTGTAATAACCACCTGGACAAGAGAAATTAGTTTTTACACATTATTTGCCAAGGTAGATCACATTTTGTTCAGTTCTTAGCTTGTATATAATCTGGAAATGTTTTTTCAATCAGTGAGAATAAAAAGGCCCAATTTATTTATTTATATTTTTAATCTGTTAGTTACACAATGAACATTGACTTGCCTGCTGCTGCTGCTGCTAAATCTGTTGCCATGTAGGCGTTGATCCCACAAGAGCCACCCTGTCTCTCCAACTCTCACGGTCTTGCCAGAGCATTGGAACATCCTCTAGCGCCACATTAATCTGCTGGGGTTCGTGTCGGACAACGTTCTTTCAACGTCGTCACCAGTTTTGGAAATAGACGGGTTGAACTGATAAATGATTGGCAGGGTGGTTATTAGGTCGTCGCCGGACGTGACCGAGCCAGCGAACACGACTCTGAGTGATGGTGTGGAAGACGTTCGCTATTCTGGCTAAATATTTTTTTAGCCAAAAATTAAAACTCATTTTTAAATGAATATGTTTGAATTCATTAAAATCCATTACGTAAAATTCAAAATTATATTTATTATCTCATATTTTACTAATATTGAATACATATCGATTTCATTTACCTCTTGTTGTCTATTTGTTCATGTTTCCGATCCTCGCTGCCGTAGATTGATGGCTGGCTTGAGAATTGCAATCTAAAGCAACTAAAATTAAATTGAAAGATAAATAAATGCATTTTGTTCAGAAATTATAGGCTGCACACACATATATATACCCACACAATACACAACACTTGAAACATCGGTTTTGGAAATTACGAAATGAGTTTCAGTGAATCTTTTTTCTCTCCAGACGTCGTAAAGAAATATTCTATAGCAGAGAGAGGAAAAATAATAAACCAATCAGATCATTCTATTTTGGTGTTAAGAAATTTCTAAGTCTTCAGCCTCTTAAAAGAAATATAAACAGAGGTCGGCAACGAATAATTGGTTAGTTGCGCTCGCTTTCAACAACATTTTGTTTTTCAGCTACCGGCAACTTCAAAGGAACAGTTTTCAATCGTCTATCCCACTTCCATCGACCAAAGACCAGACAAAGTTCAACGAACTCATTTCATACAATGTGTACATAAATCTCCTTTCTCTCACTCTTTCTCTCTATATATCTCTCTCCACTCACACATTTAGATCATTTTTATTTGAACTCAGTTATCTGACAGAAACATTCATTTCACACAAAACTCTTTGTATCAACTGACTTATTTTTTGTATCTCAATTGTTTTGTACGCGTCTTACTTCTTAAATTATTGTTAGTCTGTTAACCCTCATATGTTAATCCATATATGTTATTCTGTTAATCCACATATCTTAATCCATATATGTTGTTTTATTAATCCACATATATTGTTCCGTTAATCCACATGTTACTCTCTTAATCCAAATATATTAAACCGTATATGTTAATCCATATATGTTATTCTGTTAATCCACATATCTTAATCCATATATGTTGTTTTGTTAATCCACATATATTGTTCCGTTAATCCGCATGTTACTCTCTTAATCCAAATATGTTAATCCACATATGTTAATCCATATATGTTATTCTGTTAATCTATGTATGCTTTATATTGATCTATTTTCAAATGGTAAAAAAAATGACTAAAATTTGTTAGGGGCTCAAAAAATAAACAGACCCAGAAACAAATATTAATTTTTGACTATAAGTTAGATTCAATTATCAAAGGTTACATATTTGTACGTTATTAATTTCATTCATGTACTTATTGAATTTTAGCATTTTTTTCCGAGAAAGAATTTGAATCATTTTTTTTCTTTATGATTTCCCCCCAAGCAAGGCAATAATACCACTATGACGCATGTGGTTACTGGGAGTGAAAGAGAATGAGAAGACATTCAAAAGAAACAGAAAACCAATCCTAAACAGGAAACAAGAGATAAACCTCTACTCCTGTTCAATAGACAGGGAAGGAGTTTAAACTGGGCGATAGGCGAACCTATCGACTCCTATACACACACTGCATTCACAACATCCAGTAAACCATTAGCTATTTGCTTTCAAAACAATCTTTCGCTTTTGTGTAGAGACGGGGACTGCCATTTTGTTATTTAACGTTAATTTTCTTTTTCTCCACCTATCAGTTTTCAAACTATAGCCTCTCTTCACTTAACGACTTACCATCTTTACCTTACGACTGACTATAAAATCTCATGAGATAAAATTAAAAAATCGGGCCCGTTTTAGTCGTTGGGTAAACTATTGCTGAAAAGGAATATTATTTTGTGATGTGTATTTATGCAAATTGAAAATGAACTAATTAGCGTATAGTCGTTTGCCAGTTGTAGTATTACATATTTTTGTAGATACATTTTTATGTTTATGTGACACGTGGTTCGCTGGGTACTAAGAAGTCCCATGGTAAAACAATGGCAACCTGGAGGTGGAGAGTGAGAAAAAAGAAAGAGTTTGTGCCCTCTCCTTTTATACTGAATTTTTGGCAAGGCCATCTAGCGGACGTCGGAAGAAGTCACCGGACAGATAATTGAGGGAATATCACATTTATTAAAAATGTTGGAACATTTGCTCCAGAATCGTTGTAGCCATCAACAAAAAGAAACCTGGTACTGTTTGTTGCTGGGACATGAATCCAGATTAGTGTCTACGATCCATGTTGTCCATGTTCTAGAGACAAGTTGAATTAACATACCTTAATTCCTCATGTATAATACGCCTTCATCCATAATACGCACACCTAAAATTGTGCTGAAAGTGTGGGAAAATGCTTCTACTCATGTATAATACGCACCCCTTGTTTGGTAATCAAACCCTATAAATTGTACCACTTCAATTTCATTACGGCCAGCGTTTCCTACTCTTATTGTTTTAAATATTTTTAAACATAGGATAGTATTATTCTAATTTAGTTGTATGATAATTCTTATTTTATTTTACGGCAATTTTTAAGAGATTTTTTTGTAGCTGTGCATAATACGCACCCCTGATTTTGCTTATTATTTTTTAGAAAAAATGCGTATTATACATGGGGAATTACGGTAATATAATTTGATTTATGGTTACCACTTGTCTTCGGAGATCTTAAGGCAGTTTTCCTCACATGCAGTTTTATCTATTCTTTCATTCTACAAGATGCGATGGATAAATTGTCATCTAAATGACGCAAAAATTAAAATATCATTGAAACCCTATAAATTGTACCTCTCCAATATCATTACGGCCAGTATTTACTACTCTTATTTAAAAAAAAATGGTTTTAAACATAGAATAATATTATTTTAATTTAGTTTTATGATAATTCTAATTTTATTTTACGGAAATTTTTTAAAGATTTTTTGTAGCTGTGCATAATACGCATCCCTGATTTTACTTTCTTTTTTTTTTAGAAAAAATGCGTATTATACATGGAGAATTACGGTAGTTGTTTGATGACTGTTTTTTGGGGGGTTTTTTATCAACCGGGTTATTCACGTTTCAAAAAGTATAAAAGCAAACTTTTTTCTACTGGAGGGTAGATAGAATTTTCATTTCTTGTTCAGGACATTAGAGTTAGTTTATAAAAGGTTTACTTTAGCTAAAGAATTTAAGCCCATCAAACATTTTGTCACCCTCTTTCTTTAGTTTAATTCCACCTCCCACCTCCCCACTCCCGGCATTAGGTGACAAGGAATTTCAGCACTCTAGTAGGTGCAGGATGCCTTTCGACTTTTGTTTACTTATATGCTTTTTACGGCTTATCAACCTTTTGCAGGTTATTTAAAGCCAGAAAATATTTTTAGATTGTAAATTTGGGGGGGGATAATAATCATTTAATTATACAATTCTTGCTAATTAACCCATGGCTTGGGAGACAAGAAGGGGGTTATATCTTTATCAAGCATATTTGCTACTAATGGATAGAACGAACCCGACTGGAATTGGAACTCGGCTCTCCAACTCCGAGCTGTTATCCCTTGTACCAACCGCACATCTAACCTTATAGCACCTGATATTCTCAAGCGGTCACCCATCTAGGTACTTACGAGGTTAGACGTTGCTTAACTTCGGTTATCGTACGAGAACCAGTGTTCCAACGTGAGATAGCCGTAACCCTCGACTTTTGTCTGATCGTACATTTTAGTGTGTCTAAATATATTTTATTCGGATAGTTAACTGCTATTTCTGCCACGATTAGGATTGTGGAGGAGGATCTAATACTAACATTCGATTTTTCTTTCGTTTCTTGTAAATATATCTTTATTTGTTTATTTATTTTGTAAATATGAATTACTACCCCATCTTGTATAGTGCTTCTGTTTTATATAGAGTGATTCTTTACAAAATCAAAATAATAATCGGTAACTTTACCGGTCCTGACCGTGCATCTCGGCTTCAGTTACTTCCCCGCCGCTGTAACATAGCTTCCTTTTGCCTCTTCTATAAGTATTTTCACGGTAATTGCTGTGATGAGCTTTACTCTTAGATAAGTAAGAATCTGTTGCTTTGGTATAAGGAATCTCTATCTATAAAAGGCAGGGTGTGTGTGTGTGTGTGTGTGTGTGTGTGTGTGTGTGTAACGAATATACGGCCGCAATTTACGACGGATTTGCTCCAAAATTTACATGCACATGCTCCAAGTTAGCAGGAAGCCCAAGACCGACTTTGCATTTCCCAATTCCCATCCATAGTGGAAATAATCGATTTTTTCATACTTCTACGGCAGTTTTCATGTAGTTTGTGGCCATTTTCTACTGGCCAGAGTGAGAGCCTATAGCTGGCTGCCACGAATAGGCAGGAAGATTCTATTGGCCAGCGTGAGAGCCAACAACTGACTGACACGAATGTTAACTAGCATGCAAAAAAATCGATAGCTGCATTCGTCACAAGTGGGAAAAATTTAAATCTGCATGGCACTTTACTCCAATTGGCTCATTCGCTTGCTTAAACTCAACGTTGATTCTGATTCCGCAGAACTGAGTTTGGGTGTGAAAAAGTATTTGTTGTTAACATTCTTTTTTCATTCGGTTTTTCCAGTTACGAGTCCTTTTTTAAAGTTGATCGTTTTGTGTTCATTTTGTTTAGTTCTTTTTTCGTAACATATTTAATGTTTAGTATAGAGCTTAGAAAAAATTCTCAGTGTGAGATAGGCAAGAAATAAGACATGTAGCAACATCAGCACGGCAAAGGGCACTCCTTTAAAGGCAAGGAAGGGCAAAAATATATTAAGTCAAGTGATAGCGATTGCTGTACGAGTCGTACGATTTTTGAATCAAGCCCGGGCAACGCCGGGCCATGCTGCTAGTAATGTTATATGTTTCAGTCAGTAATTATGGCTAGCTAAGGCAGATTAAACACCAGCAGTCATCTACATCCTTCTTTTTGGCCTTGTGCAAAATTTTCGCATTACTCAAAATAAATATTACTTTCCACGTTGGTACCTCATCTTCACGAATTTAAGTCCAGTACTAAATTGGCAGATATGTCTCATAATTTCACTGTTGGAATCGCTAACTGTAACCGTAAGTTCTATGCTAATATTTTCTTCTCTTGCTTTTCTTGAGTATGGAACTCTTTCCGGGCTTCCTGATTTCCTTTCGATTATAATTTTCTAAAATTTAAATACAATGTCAATCGTGATCTTCTGTATCCTTGAAACCTGTTCTTTTATTGTCCTATGTTTCTTTCCCTTTCAGTACCTCCTTGCATCTTAGTGGCTTTTATTGCCTTCCTTGGACTGAAATGATTAAAACACATATAGGACTACTTAGGACCTCTTAGAGAAAAGGTGGTATTATGGTGACTGTAGTACGACTGGTAAGTGCAAATATAGAATTTTTCGATTGTGACTAACTTGGATAAAAGTTAGAATAGAGAAGACCAGCCTTCCCATATCCTAATTTTTGGCCTTTTGGCCTTTTTTTTATTTCCCAAAAATATATATCCGCACACACAAACATCTTATATATGGGACTAGTTATTTCAGAGAAATTATGGGACTAGTTGGGGCCACTTAGAGGAAATGTGGTATTATGGTGATTGTTGTACGAAAGGTAAGTGCGAATATAGAATTTTTCTGATTGTGACTAGCTTGGTTAAAGATTAGAGAAGACCTACCCTCCCATATCCTAATTAGAGGCCTTTTTCCTATTATTTGTATTTCCCAAAATTACATATCTGCACACACAAAAATTGTATTTATGGGACTAGTTATTTTAGAAAAATTATGGTACGACTGACAAGTTTAAACGCAAAGCTTTGGTGATTGGAAGAATATTTGTGCAAAACTGGTCAATGATTTATGAGTGGCTAGATTAAAATAGGACAGAAAAAATTAGCCTCCCTATTCCCCATTTTAGGTATTTTGCCGGATATTTTGTCTTTTTTTTCTCTAGAAATATCTAGAATTTGCATATCTTTCTGGAAACGAAAGTTGAAATTGTTTGGATACAAAACATAGCAATCAACATATAACACATTCAAATGTATTTAAGCATTTGGAACGCATCTTTAAACTAGAACGCTTGGTGACCGGTTTTCCTATTAAACTTGTTATTCATTATCATACCTTCTTATCTCAGATTTGTCTTTGTTCTTTGTACCGTGTCCCTTCAGGACGTGGGAGATCACTGTTCTCTACATCTTCTCCCTCTACTTTGTGGCTTTTAGCTCTTTTTGTCATTTTACTGTCTCTCCTATCACCTGTTCTGCCAACCATTTACACAGGGTCGTTGGGTAGGTGCTTTACTCTGCTCCTCTTGCCATTCAATCTGTTTTGTGAGTGTTAAATTCTTCAAGCCTTCTTTCCTGATTATGTGCCCTAGATATTTCAATGTTTTCTTTCTGAAGTTAACTATAAGTGTCTTGTTTCTTTCTATCGTGGCTTGAAAATATCTGCTAAAATATATAAACATGACAGGTTATAATTTTAAAAAATTTTCTGTCTATATCTCTGAAATGAGGTATTATGATTACTTGCATTATTTACATTATTCGGACTGCTATCCTGATCTTCATTACCATATTCAAGACGCTTCGGCCGGCGTACACTCCAGCCTTCTTCAGGTAATTAGAAGTTTGAACCGACCCCTTTAACCAAGTAGATAAAGACGTTGCTTAGATCCAGTGACTAAACACAAAGAATTTGAGTTCAATACCAGGCCAAAGCAATGGCGAACCAAAACTTGGAATGTTGGGTTAAAGGGAAATAACTGAGACATCCAGATGTCATGGTACGTGGAACTAGATGAATCTACCCCGGTGAACGAAATAAAGGGTTCGGTTCGAAATTTCAATCACATGAAGAAAAGGCGGTAACCTTGTGAATATGGCAATGCAGTTGAGGATAACAGCCCAAATAATGTAAATAATGCAGGTATTCAGTTTCTTCCCTACCTATAATGAGTTCGTTTTAACATACCATATTAAAAAAGAAAAATAAATAATAAAAGATTTTGATTAATGTAGGCTATAAATACAACACAAATTTGTTTGTAGAATATAAATATAAATGTTTATAATTGTTGCCAATAAGCAAAAAAAATATACAAATATAAGGAGTTTAAATAAACAGGCATAAAAATAAACGGCATGCAAATAAACGGACATATTAAAGCAACAATGTACCAAATCCTATAAGATATGTTCTCGGTACTAAGGAAGGCTCACTCTGATTTTCACTTTAAAGTTTTAGAATCAATTTATATTAAGTTTTTCCAGCCATCCTTCTGTAACAGTGGGTGTTACGTTTAATCATAATTAGATGTTTATATATTTAATATATAACATCCAGTTTCTGGCGTTATTGCAAAATTCTTCTCAACTAAGATCTGATGCCAGAGGAACGAGAAACCAGTTAAGCTGTTTTTGTTTTTGTTTTTTTTTAGTTTTTTGTTTCGTATTTTTTGTTGTTTTTTTTTTTCTTTTTTCTTAATTTATTTGGGTTTTTTTTATATTACCGTTTTACGGTAATGTCAGTGTTATTATTTCCCGTTCTTTTAACGCGGGATTTAATCTCAATTATTCAATTCCATACCCCTTTCAGAATACGTACCAACTATTGTGGGGCAGGTTGGACCAGCTTGTCTATATTCTTATATCCATTTATTTAAGGTTTGTCTTAAAAATCCTAGACTAAGATAGACGAGTATTATTTGCATATTTATAAGGGACCGATTTTTATTCATGACGACAAATATTTTATTTAACTTCAGTCTACTAACAAAGTAATGAATAATTTTGTTAGCTTTCAATTATACCAAGAATAAATAAGAAAACGAAACTATAAATGTGGCAAATAACAACGATAAACTTTTAACAATCAAGCAAAATCCTAAAATAAACGAGATTTGTTATTTAAAGTTCATAGGTATAATTTGATTTTATATTAATTAAAATGGTACTAAAAATATGTGTGAAAGCGTGTATTCTGATAAGTAGAAACAGTTTGCTTAAGTATATACATTCAAATGTTTCTACAAACGGTAGGAAGACATTCAAACAACGGCTGCTGGTTTTATTATGTTTATATCTGTGGTGGATGTAAGTAGAAGGTTGACAGTGTTTTTCTGAAGTCGCTGTGACACCAAGTAATTCTTTCGAAGCGAGTAAACTTTTCCATTTGTCCAGTCACTTTTTGTTTTTGGAATGACTACCGACTCACAAATCTAAACATTTAAAAAGTAAACAGAACCATTGACTCAACTATGCCCGCCGAAAAAAAGACCGGCTCAAGTGAAGCCGACATTCTTTTTTTATCTAGAATGCGCGAACATTATGTATTTGTTTTTTAGAGAGATAAACCGGGAAGCTCTCTCGTGGGTTGTTAATTGATGTCCCTTTCCATTAGTTAATTGTAGTATAGAGATATATATGTGTATATCTGTCATATAGAAAGAAAATGAATAACTACCGACACTGAGGCTCGAGCGTGACACTCTTGACTTATGAATATATGTTTTCCGTCAGGTGTATAAACAGCGGTGTCAGGCTACTGACTGCGAGTGATTATTGAGTGGAACTATCCAGTCGAATTAGTGTGAATTATTGAGCGTCGATAATTTGAGATTTGAGATTTACTGGACATTAAGCCGAGCCACGCTACTAACAAGGC